CCCCCCCCCCCCCCCCTCGGTGTTTGCCATCGGGATTGGGTTTTCGCCGCTTGGCAACAACGTTGTAAAAAATCCATTCACTTCGTGAACTCGGTGAAGGCCACCCTGACTCTCCAAACCATGGGTTCGAGTTCGTGTGGAAGTGTCTTTTTTTTCCAAGACATTTTTTTTTCGGAGCACCTCAATCAATATATTGCAATACTGCTGTGTAGTAAACGGGCCAATGGTAGCAACGCACGAGCCTACTGCAGGTACGTTTTTCAACAAAAAACTATTCCACCTCCCGATCTAGTTTATGCCTACTTGTAGCAAGGACTTTCCGGCCTTGAAAGTGTGCATGTTCGATAGGAGGCCTCAGTAGACGATATCATAGGGTTGCGACCTGCGCGTTGCCATGCCCAGACCTATCTGTTGCTGGGGCCGTGCAGTCGAAGGCTGTAGCTGAGGTCTGAAATGTCCGCAACTCTGTACCCATAGCCTGGACGATCCACTGCAGTACGCACGGTCACATACCCAAATCTCCTCCACTGCGGATAAACATTCAAAGATCGCACCGCAGAAGCAGTAGTCGCCTTGGACGAACAGTTTGGTATCTGTGACGGCGCGTATGCAAGCGACTGTGAACGCAACATGTATCGACACAGATTTGCGGACATTTCGGGCCCCAGCCAGAAATCTGGCCGTGCCAATGGTAGCGATATCCTCTATTCGTTTCCCATCCCATCGCACAACACTTTTACCGCGGAGAACTTGTTGAAGCACCTACCAAGTTCTCTTGTTTTGTCTTGATTTTAGAACAATGGATTTTATGTCTTGGTTTTAGACAAGGTGTGTGGACACGTTGACTGCGAGACATGCTGCTACAAGCCCCAGCCACTGGTCGGATATGCGATAATTACAGTATTTTCTCGTTCACACGTCCCGACTGATGCCTATACTTCTGGTGTGTGATCGCTGAGCGCTCGTGCGGGCTTTCTCGAAATCAGCAGTCGGAATCAAATCATTAACAGGATCCTGCTTTGGTTGAGTAGATGTTTTTGGTTGCTGCTCCGACGCCGGCTCGGGTACGCTGAGACCATCCCTCCGCCCGCTGGAACCAACATTCATTGTGGAACGCACATAACGGCTAGCTCAAGTAGGGTTCCGGATGAAGCACCGAGCTCCTTCATATATTTTGCGACCCCAAAAATGAAAATACAAGAATACCCAAAACAAAGCACCAACAACCATCGTGTGTGTAGGTGTGTGTTTGTGTGTGTGAATTCCGCACAAGTCGTCAACAAAGACCATAGTCTAACCCGCTACACTACGCTTTGCCGCTTGATTTCTGCACACGCGCGAGTAGGCAACCATGTCCGGCAACGGCGCCGCCGTTCGCTTCCTGCTGGACCGAGACATCTCAAGCCTCGAGGCCCGGGATCACGACGGCAGAACCGCGCTCCACCTCGCCTCCGGCCACCGCCTGGGCAGCGACGAGACCCTCCGCGCCCTTGTGGAATCCGGCGCGAACATCGAAGCCAGAACTTTCCTTGGAGAGACCCCCCTCCACAAGGCGTGCAAGGCTCTGAGGGTGTCGGCGGTGGAGCAGCTCTTGCGGTTCGGGGCTAACGACGCCGCCGTGGATGCCGAGGGGCGAACCCCGGCCGCGATGACGGCACGCCTGCTCCAGTCGCAGCGTCCCGGGATGTTCCGGGACATGCTGCAGAATATCCTGACGCTGCTTAAGGCCGCGCCGGGGGACAGGGTCTGGCGTCGGCGGGGCTGGCTGCTGATGCTTCGCCGACTCGGCAGTGGCACGGCGACGGAGCCGTGGTCGTGCCACGAAAAAGGCGTGGTTGCTGGCGCTCGCGCAACTCCTGCCGGCTCCCGGGCGATTCCTGGGCTAATCGGGGCGGAGAAGGAGGCATACGAGCACACGGCGCGGCCCCGGAAGTTTGGGAAAGCAGGGGATACCGCCGTTGCGCGAGCAACGCGAAAGGCGGCTGGCGAGAAGAGGGAGCACCAACACCCCTGGTGCTATCAGAGTACTACCGAGGCAGCCGGTGTTTGGAGTGGAGTCGACAGCGCGGCGGCAGAGTTCGGCAGGGATGAAGCAGGAGGGGACCGAGAACTGCGGTCTGTGGTGGAGAGAGCGGTCGACGTGGACGAAGACGGAGTGTTCAGGAACATCGTCGCCTTCCTCTAGAGTAAGTGGGGTTATCGGGTAGGCCATCGTTTTTTCTTGTCTTGATTAGTATACGTTTTTCTTTTTGTGACTGGCTCGTAGAGCTTGGCCAAATACGGTTGACCCTTTTGTCAACTTTGCCGTAACGTTGAGATCCACCGATGGGGCTCTTCTTGCTTGGCACACTTGGATACATACTAATGTTCCTTTGGTACACATTGACCATGACTCCTACGCAACAAGTGGATGTCTTGTTCGGGGGTTTCGTTGAAAGTGGGTTGGCGCCGTCCTACATCCAGTAGCTCAAACACAACAAGTTTGTCATGGCCGGTACACTGCTGAAAAACTCACAAAGCGCCGACGGGCACCAGGTGACACTTGGGCCGACCGGTTATTTTACACCGTGCCATCTGTGCCACACTCCTGGCTTCCGATTTCGTTGAGCCTAACGCCGTTTACCCCCAACCCCTTCCCCCTGCAGATCGGGAAGCTTCATTGATACACGATGGGGACCGAAGAAGCCTGGAGCATCAGACGCCTCCTCGACGCAACATCATCGCGCATCATGGAGGTGCTGTGATGTAAACCCGAGATTATTGGGTGTATCCCTGGCAGTGGCCGCTGCTGTGTGGAACAGTGTGCAGGGGCGCCATGCCATGATTGTGGAGAACGTTCACGGAAGCATTGGGCAGGAGGTGATTGCGGCGTCTTTGGCGTCGAACCAGATAGTATCTCATCTACTCCGGGCGTCTTGGGCGTGTTTCGTTCAATAGTGAAGGACTAGTGATATAAAAAGTATGTTTGAGGGTTGTCCTGAGTGAGGTGGGGGATTGACGTGATGCTCCCTACCGTGAGCACCACTCAAGGTGCGGTGTTAGCATCATGTTGGGATTGTGGTTGTGCGAAAAAAAAAAATGATCGAGTTTCGGCGAGGTTTTCCGGTAAGCGCAGCGCGTTGCCGCAGGATCGGGCGGCAAGGCAGCATCGCCACGGAAAGCTAGGCCACTCTCGCTCACGATCTGTTCAGTGTCCCGCACAAAACTATCCTGTTGGCAGGCAGGCACATCGCACACAAACACGGTATCGGAAATCACGGGTAGGTTTTCTGCCACGAGGTGTGTACCGCGTGCGAGAACATCTGGTATCAGAAACTAGCAACTGCTGCTGTGTTGCTTGACGGTTGGGTAGATGTACTGCCATTACGGGGAAGCTTTCCGGGAAGCTACACGCGCACCCCATCAGCGATGTGTGTGTAGTGATTACGGCGAGGGAGCCCCGGCTATTTCTGTTTGACGGAGAAATATCAAAGTAGGTCTTCGGGGGGGATGTTTTTCTATTGGTTTGGTACGGTACAGCACTCTTCATAAGGACGGAGATAAAAAGGGCGAAAGCCCTGGTTGTTAACATTGTTCTGTTCACGCGCAAAGTTAGAGGTAGGTAGGTACATCGTACCGTGGGTATAGAGAGGACGGTGGTTGAACGGAGGCACTAGGGACGCGAAGTGGGGAAGGAAAAGGTAGGAGGGAGGGGGTTTCCAAAACCACACGTTACGTTCGAGACCATTTACTTCTTCCTCACTGCGCAAAACCGAGCTCAGTTGTAGCTCTTGCAGATTCGTGAGGAATTGGGTGCTGGCGCACAGCGTGTCGTAACGCGCTCTAAATTTGTGGGAGGCTCGGGTCGTAATTTTCTCTGTTGAACTTCAACAGCCAGCCACTGCGTACACTCGGTTTGTAGGATCGGGTCGCTCGACGAGCTCCACGCAGCATGGGCTCCAACTTCTTTTTTTCAAAACAGTCGATGCGAGTTGTTTTCAATCAATCGTATCACGTGGTTTGAGCGCGTTGTCTGCATGTGATTTTGCCGGTCGTGCGTTGTGAAGTGCGTGTTTTCTTGTGGTACTGCGTACGTGAAGCCTGAGTTGTTGATGTGAGTGATTATTGCTGTAGACCGAGGTTGAGCAGCAGCGTTGATGTTTGGTGAGTCGATGTTCATTCGTGATTGCTTCGGTGTCCCACGATGAATCCAGTCATACGAAGTCAAGGACGTTCTCGAGGGTGTGGACACCACGCGACGAGAGAGAGAGTGAAAAGGTGCCCGCAGTATTTCATATTTAAGGTTTTCCCATTTTTTCGTTTGTTGTCGTGCTCCCCGGCATGGCTACGGCCGATCACTCCAGTAGTGGACAGTGGCGGTGGCGGCAGTATTTTGATGTTTTGCTATTTGGAGGCGAGGTAAGCGGCATGATGGGGGCCGAGAAAATGCCGTGGCCTGCAGAGAGCGTTTCGTTTCGCGCTACTGCTAGGGACTTCAAAGAATACCTTTGCTGTGTCAAGTAGTTTTTCTGTTGTACCAAGTATGGCTGATGAACGTGGTTTGGATCCAATCCAGTTGCTCGTGACTTCCACGGGAAGGTGCGTGTGTGTGTCCGGCGAAGAAAACTATTACGCCGCTTGCATGCATACGTTGTTTTGACATAATCTTTGTCGGGTGGAGGGTGTCGTCTTCTTGCAAGAACGTCTTTCTTGTGTTGTGTCTTGGTTTGTTCGGTGTTTGCATTGGTTTGCTTTGGTCGTTCTCCCGTCGGTGTTATTATTGCGGAACAGGCCGATGAAGCGGCATCTCCCTCAACACGTGCGCGATTGTTCGGTCGGTAGAAAATTGTTGTCTATTTTCCTAGACATTCACCTACATAAGTCGTAACGCGAGTGAGTCCAAGAAAGGGCGACGTTGAGGTAGGTTACGGTCGGAGGGTGCGTAAGGCTGGAAAGGAGGATGACGGGTGGAATGGATGGGTGGGCCTCGTTCGGGCTGTCGGTTAATGGTGTTGTTGATCTTTTTGAGTGGGAGTGTGGCGGTAGAGGGGAATGCCGCGTGGAATGGGTAAGCCTTGTTTGGACTGTCGATCAATGATGTCGCTTTTTTTTGTCGGGAGAAGGGAATGTCGCATGGAATGGGTGGGCCTTGTTCGGCTGTCGGTTGTGACTCTTCTTTTGTCGCTATATACCGTAGTTTTTAGTTGACGTTCGAAACTTGTCTCGGATCTCTACGCTGTTCCTCGCCTGTGCTCATATTCCAGGGGCAATGAAACGGAAGTTCTTGGCCACACGCTGCCGCCCTAAAATGTGGTACACTATTTTGTTTATTCCCAACACTTGGCCAAGAAACACAAGTTTCTTGTAACAACCTTGAACAACGGTTGGGCGAGAAAAAGGCAAGGGTCTATTGCTTCAAGCAGAGGCGAATATGCAGTGCATAGCGAAGCGTTTCTGTGATCCTTTCTGTTGCGGAAATTCTCTGTGGTGACACAGACGTCGTGGTTGTCCTAGTCTGCTCCGCGATGGGGTTGTGTCCATCTTTCCAAGGTCCAGCTTGTTGTCCCCCTCGTGCCGACTCGTCGTGGAATGCAAGTCTTCGATATCGTTATGGCAACCATGAACCCATACAGTTAGCGCCCGCCCTCGTGTTGGCGGAGGGTTCTTTCTGTATTCCTAGGGTCATGCGACGAATGGCCGCTATATAGATTTTACTGTAGGGGTTCTCAACCAAGTCCCAAATGGTGCTCGATCGAGCTCTGTTATTGTGGGTTTTTCGAAACTCGATTATTCTTGACTCCCCAACTCTTGATGGCGCTACTGCTGTACCCCGAAACGGGGTGCCAAGTTTGTACGCACCCGGACGCCTACACGGTCCACCGGGCCCATATTGCCTGAATGAACGAGCGGTATCCGATAAAAATCCTGTAAATATTGTTGCAACCAACAGAATACTCGTCGCTGCGTAACGAGCACCCCTGGCACATGAGGGTCACACTACGAGCAGCGCTTACCAATAGTCTAATACCGTCCGTCGCAAGCAGCGCGCGCGAAACCTCTCGACACCTCAGCGCAGCAGTCCCTCCAGCCAACCGCCCGAGTAGAAAGGGCCTTGGTTTATCATTGCGCCGTCCAATGAGGAGGGTTGCTGCCCATATAGCAGATGCAAGTCTGACGGTGTGCCTTGTACCAGCAAACCATGTGGAAGAGCCCCTGGCGTGGTGAATTTTCAGGGCATACGCCGGCACGAAACAGGAACCTCTACTGTAGCCCCATGCTGGGTAGCGGGTGCTTTGCGTCAGAGGCTGCGGCGTAGAGGTTGGCTCAAGACGTTGATGTCAACGAGATGAACGAATGCACAAGACATGCTTGTCCATGCTAGGCAGACGGGGGATCGCCCTTCCTTCTGCAAACAAATACATACCAAGATGATACACGAAACCCAGGTCTCCGTAGATCCATACCTAGTGCTGAGTACACGTAACAGCCTCCCTACTCGGTACTACTTGTTCATCACATCGCGTAACTTGGCCGTAACAACCTCAATCCCTACTCTAGATCGTCCATCGTTCCACTTCGAAGCAAATCTCCCAAGATAATGCTGCCCTCCGAAATCAATTGATTTCCCAAGAACTCCATCATCCGAAATCCCCTGAATCTTCAACCATTACAAAATATCCCTATATCCAGATACTGCTGTTATCAGAAAATATTCTATCCCCTCAAGACGGTACTCCGTCCGGAACTCCAACGCTTTCCATCCAAAAACGTCTGAACCAAACGTATGCAAAAACCAACGACGAAAAAACACATCATCACATCTTAAGTACTTGATTCTCCTTCGGAAATCCATGCCATACAAAGTTAAACTGCGAACACCATCATCCAGATCGCTTCTCAGTACTTCTTGAGATACGCAAAACACAAGAATTATCCTAACACAACATGTCCATGAAATCCGCATCCCTTTTTTCAATAGTGCGGTCAACACTACCCTGTAGAAACGCATCTGTCGCTTGAACAACATCCTCAAGCGAAAACTTGGTTTCAAATTATCGACCAATAGAGCTAAGCATTCGGGACACACAACCAGTTCTCTACTGATAAATAAAAAGCCCAAACGTCCGGAAACACCAGGAAATCTTCAACAGCAGTAGAAACAGCTCTAGCATACTCAACGCAGAAAAATCTAACAGCCCTCCTGCTGTGACTTCTCAGGAAATGCAAACATGTAATCCGAAGTGTCAGCTAGGCAAGCAAAAACGCGTAGCAGGTAAAACGCGATAGTTGCGAATGCCACGAACAACGGATAGCACACCAATCTGAACACAAAAGACAAGGTGTCAAAACCAGTGCAATCTGATCGCAGTCCCCCACTGTCAACGGTGCACTGCAGCAAGCAGGACATGAAAACTTCTCGTGCTGCTACAAGAATCACGGCACAACATTACCCCCCCCATCATTATTCTTGGTAGCAGCACTGCAAAAACGCTACCCGTACGCTTCCACGAAAGAAAACAAATCGAAAAACAACACCAAGATAGCGCCCCCCCGGTCGAAAACATTGTCAAGACCGGTGCTGCGTCCACCAAAACATACAACAAAATGTAGCGGCCCCCCGCCGAAAACAAGTCAAGAACGGTGTTTCGTGTCACCGAAAACACGACAAAACAAATAAAGCGCCCCGTGGTCACAGACTACCTTACCCTCCAAAATGTAAACTCCAATAAAAAGGACCCGTAGGGTCCGCAAGACAATGGAGATCAGAGACAGAAACATCTGGAGCCCTCCGCCCCCCTCCTGCCCGAAATACATTCCCTTGTTCACCCCTGGCACCCCAATACTGCCGGCTTCGTTTTACCCCCCAAATAAGCCGTTAGGTTGATACGAAGAGAGGAAATCATTGCCCCGTGTTGCCGACGTACTCGCGGTCTCCAAGCAGGAGAACTTCATAGGGAAGAGAGAGAGAGACATCTAGAAAAAAAGGGAATGAGAGAGGGAAAAAGACACGCTAAAAAATACGAACAAGCCAGCACGGCAACCCGAGAGAGACATCTAGGTGAGACACACGCCAAACAAAAATCACGAACAAACAAGCAGGCGAAATCACGAACAAACATGCAGGCGAAATGCTTTCGGAAAAACCTCGAGTGCGTGTACAAAATGAAGTACAACGGCACAACGTACAAAGACGTGGTACATGTACCCTCCATGCTACGTGCTGCGCTGACTCCACCACCTCCGTTTTCGATTCCGCTGAACCGCCGCCGCCGTAGCACTTGGATCTTAATCCTCGATCTCGACCCTAGCCCTAGGCATGGCCGCCGAAGCCGCCTCCGTGGCACCTGGATGTCGATTCTCCCGCCTCCGTTTTCCATTCCGCTGAGCCGGCCCCGCTGCCGCCGGTCCCGCTACCGCCTGCGCAGCTACCGCCTGCGTCGCTGCCGGCTCCGCTGCCGGCTCCGCCGCCGCCGCCGTCGCCGCCGCCCGCGCTGCAGCAAGAATGTCCTCCTCAGACGTCAGCGGATATTTCACAGTCTCCGCTACCGCCGCGATCACGATAGCAGTCTCGCGACGACCTAGGTGCTGCTCTTCCGCCCTTTCCTTCACCACCTTGATGGCCTTGGAAGCGACAAACCGCGCAACGCTTTGTTGGAGAGTCCCCGTGTTCTCCCCGGACTTTGCCAGGCTGCTGGATACCCAGAACTTGTTTTTCGTTGGGCCCCCGATGCCAAGCGGCGGCGGGAGGTTGGAGCGCCGGCGCATCAACTTGTCCGCGTCATAGTTTATGCGGCAAACTTCGGTCTGTGGTCGAGCATCGCCGATGTACAGATTGGACAGGAGGCGTCTCCAACGTTCGCGACGGAGGGCGGCCATAGGAGGTAAGGGGGTGTTAAGGGTGTGTGTGTATGACCCATCGTCGATGCTAACCATACACGATGCATGCGCGGGCCAGGGCACCGGGGCGCGATTTTTTTCCGTGCCCGGTGCAGAAATAAAATGAACTAATGTACCAAGCTTTTCTCCAACGCACCCCTACGGTGCGATGACTCGGACAGGGCGCAGTCTCTGCCGTACGTTATTGTGAGGGGGAGGGGACCCGGGAAGGACCGCCTTCGCGGGAAATTGAGCATTATGAGGAAATCGAGCAGGAAGGGGGAACGAAGACCCCATACCCTGACCCTAATCCCAACCCAACTTCCCCGATTGTATGCTGTATCCAGTAAGTTTGCTGCATAGAAAAAACCTGCGAATGCCACTGCCCGGGAAGAAAGGAAGCACTCGGGAAGAGAGGCAGCACTGTAGATCGAGCTGTGAAACATCGATTCCATGCTTTGGCAATGCGGCAGATCAAGCCTTGCATTTTCGTGCCAGTCAATACGGTACACCAATGTAGCATACTACCTGGTGAGTTGTGATAGACTATTTATTATCTAATACATATTTGACATCAAACCAATGTACCGGCTACGATTTACCTCTTGAGGGTGCCCAACAGACCTGAGTCTTCGACCGCGTCGACGCATTCCACCCCCCCCACCACCTTTGTCTTTGTCTTTGTCTTCACTCGCCTCGGTCTGTGTGGAAGTTCGTCGCTGCTGGACTCGGAAGAATTGCACTCCTGCTTGTTTGTGGCGCCCTTTCCCTTCCCGTTGCCGGAGCCAACGGACTTTCTGCCGCGGTCGGAGCTGCTACTGCAGTCAGAGTCGCTGCTGCTGCCGGACTCCTCCTTCGCCACTTTTTTCACTTTCCCCTTCTTCTTCTCCTTCGCCTCTCCCGTCGGGTGCTTGGGCGCATTGTGATCCCTGAGTCTCTGGTTAGCTGAAGCTGCAGTGAAGGTGGTCTGACGCTTGAGTCCATCTTGATTCAAACGAGGCCTGGAGTCAAGTTCTGATGTCGGAAAAGATCCTTGGCGGGTGGCGGCGAGACCCAAGGAAGTCCTGACGCAAATGAACTACGATAAGCCGTCGCATATCGCGCATTTCAGCTCGTGGTTGGGATAGAAGATTGCGAAGTCCTCGGGCGAGAGCCGCTGATGCACTCCACGGGGAATGTGCCACAGGTCGGCAAAAAGAATTTCCGACTGCTTCACTGTCATCTCAGTGCCGTTGTCGCCAATGAGACGGAACCGTGCCTCCGTCCCTTCGCCGTCAATGTACGAGGCGAAGTCTCGGATGCATATCTCCGCCTGGTGCGGGTCATCTGGCGCTTTCCTCCTCTCGCCCTCCTCTTGCTTCGCCTTCCGTCCAGCTTCGATTATTAGTCGTATGCTGGAGTCGATATCTTCTTGCGTCACGCGTTGACCTGGATGGGTCGCGAGCCCAGAGAGAAGAGATCAGAAAAGGACCACGGAAAGGAGCAACATATGGACGTTGATTGAGTCAAGGTAGCGGGGGGATTGAGCCATGTGTACCTACGTACCGCAAGTGTGCGAGAGAACGCGCGGGAGCGTGATCGATTGTTACGGTTGTATAATTACGGTTACATGGAGCTGCACCCTTCGGGAATTTAGCATTGTCCCGATAGGGTGGTTGAGAGTTCTGTATATTTGCAGGGCCCCTTGTCTTGAGATCGCGCGACCCCGCCAGCTCACTCCGTGTTTGAACTCCTGTATGAGCGTTTCAGTGCTTACCAATCGTCCAAGCGAAAACCGTATCCACGACCGAAGATCTGCTCCCACACCCACAAGCCACCTTCGTCCAAGCGTGTCCACCGAACTCGGTACCGATGGGGAGACTGCTGTCGGAGGAGGTCTGAGTTATCATTGCATGCGGATCCTGTGGTCTCTCTCCCTTGGATTTGCTCTCTTGACCATTTCAGGGTCCTGGACGGATGGATGTCCTCAGACCGCCGTTGCTACACCTCAACTAGTCGCGGGATCACCGAAAACCTTACCCTCTCTATCCGATACACGATTTCAAAATCATTCCGTTCTTGGCTTTTTATTCGCATAGGGGTGCGATAGATAGGACGGTTGATGCAACCAACACAAACACAACACAGACACACGGATAGCGCGTCGATGCTAAAAATAAAGACACACACACACACACACGTTGGTCTTCCAGGGACCTTGATTCTACCTGCTGACACTGTCGAATTTTCATTGGCCACCCGATTAGCGAGGTCGACGCGAAAAGTAAACCTCCCACGTTGGACCTCCTGACGCACAACGCTTGCTATTGTGAAGCACCAGTTTGTTGAGTGTCAAGTACCGTAAAGACAATGGTTTGCGCTTGGTCTGCACTAAGACGGTGTGTAGTTGACGTGTTTAGTTGACGGATGCTGTCTTCCTCATACGCGCGTGTGGCTGCCAACATTAGTAACAGTTTGGTGAGTGAATGTCGAACGTAAATTCCAATAGCCGCCTCACCGACATGGCATCAACTTACAAGGCGCAGGAGGTTTGGCAGCAAGAACCCGTGCCAACTACCACTGCGCGTGCTCAGTCCGTCAAAATAGCAACGGATTCCGAGAGAGAGAGAGAGAGAGAGAGAGAGAGAGAGAGTGATGAAGAGAGCAAAAAATCAAAGAGGGAGAGTCTTCCAGTTTTGGTTTGCATTCATTCTTGGCGAACGATTTCTTCGCGAAGAACATGTCCCCGGGCGTCGAGCACACGGTCCACGGGTACCTGTCGGACCGCGCGGTTATGTACGGACGAGCCTTTAACTTTGGCATGCCGCTCAAAAGGAGGCGTGAGAAACGACTCGCTGCCGTGAGCGAATGATATCCCGAAGCACAAAAATAATGGAAACGGTACAAAGAGATACCTGCAATGATGTCTGGGCCCTGAGACGCAACCGGTCAACCAAGCCATATATATTCCGTTCAATTAGTCTGCTGCTGCTGGCTCCTCTACGCTTTTTTCCCGCCGGTCTTCGCCAACTGGAGCGCGTCAGTGTCTCGGCCACAACGCTCCTGTCGCGAGTTCGAGGCTCCAAAGGCGAGTAGAGTTACAACACCGTGAATACACGCAAGGATTGCAATTTTTCGGTCATGAATTAAGCTAGACGTTGGGGTGTGGCGAATCGGTGGTAATCGATATTAAGTTTTTTTTATGTTTTTCGCCAACCTGAGCGTGCAATCTTACCATCACAACCCTCCTGTCGCGAGCTCGAGTCTCCAAGGGCAAGGCGAGCTACAAACCGTCAAAAAGGCTTGAATCTCCTGCACCAGGGCGAATCTATAGAATCGCTACAAAGCTCCTTAGAAAAGGCTTTGTTGGACAACGTCAACTTACCACACTGACGGCATATTTTGGTAATATTGCCGTAAACTAGATGAGCTGAACGACAGTAGGTACTGACATTGAACCTGATGTTTTCATTGCTCGCGGCTCGCCAATGTTCTGTGTTGCTCTTGTAGACTTGTCTACCGTGAAAAGCTAACTAACCAGTTCAATTTTGTCTGAAGCAACCTCCAAGTAAAAAGGATAGCGAGGCAGGTAGGACAAATTGTGATCAAGGCATGGTAGCATGATAGGATTGATTGTGGGACGCCATGCGTGCTTGAAGATCATGTATTTGAAATAACGCTGTCTCCCTGCACGCTGTTCACCTAAATGCTAGATAGATGATGTAGAGATTACAAGTGTGTGGCTACGGTCGGCGAGACCAAGTTCCTGTGGATGAACAGAGTGTTCGCCAGAATCTGCGAACTCCAGGACCGAAGCGTGTCGGCGTGGCCGCGTTAAACCTTCAGAAGCTGGATACTACCCACGGACGCCGACAGGGTTCGTGTGTTCGTCCTAACCTTCCGGGCTGTGACTACCTCGCGGCCATTTCCGGGCTGCTGTTCGACAAGATGTCGGTACTCGTTCTTAAGAGACGTGGGCTGTGGATATCGACGGACTCGTTAAACTTGTGGCGACCACGTTTTTCTTCAAGGATGAAGCGGCAACGGTGGCGGCAGCGACCTGTGCTTTGTGCCCCGCATTGGTGTAGACGTCCGCCGGGTGTTTCACCGGCACGCCTTCGCCGCCGCTGCTGCTGCTTGCGATAGCGTCTCCAGTGGTGGTGTCATTCGAGCCTTCCTGCACGCCGCTGTCTCCAACTTAACCCCCCGCCGCGGGCGCGCCCTCGGCTGATTCTGTTTCACCCTCGCCTCCTCCACCCCCAACTGCTGTACTTTGCGCCGGGGAGACGCTGCTGCTGAGGTCTGCACTCTCGCTCATGTTCCTCTCAAGCTATGTGACCGAAAGGAGTTCTGTGGAGGTACCTAGTTCTAGTTCTGTGATCGCCTTCANTCACAGAACTTTTCGGTAGGGTACTGGGAGAATACAGAACGTTCTGTGAAATCTCTGTAGGGTACTGGGCGAGTACCGAATGTTCTGTGAAATATCTGTAGGGTACTGGGAGAGTACCGAACAGTCTGTAAAATCTCGGTAGATACTGGGGAGCGTACCAAACTATCTGTGAAATCTCTGTAGGGTACTGGGGTCTGACAGATCTTCTTTGTAGTGATCTGTCGGAACTTACAGAGGGAAAATACCGCCGGTACCGATCTGTGAGTACCCTACAGAACGGACCTGTGCAAATATCACTAAAGGACACCCTATTACAACGGGGGGGGGTGCTGGCACGCTCGAATCTGCGTCTGTGGTGGTGATATCGAGGGTCGTCGTAGTAGTGGCCTACAATCAACGCAAATCTCCGCAAATTAGACAGACTCCCAGTGTCTTGTTCTGCTTGTGCTCACCGCCACTGACCTCAATCTCCTGAACTACGGGTATACAGCAGTAGCTGATGCCACTAGCGACTGCTGACAACCCTCCTCTCAGGGGTTCACGGTCCGTGGTGGTGCGCACGCCTGTAACAAATGTTGGATTCCGCTTGGTTCTGGTGCAGACTTCGGAATTTTTTCAGAGGCTGCTGCGA